AGAGGAACTCCCGTTGGCAGAGGGACCCCCGGGGGGCCTGCCTCACCCCCGGGCAGGAGCCCGAAGCAGCGAGTGGCCGCTGGCTGACCTCGGGCGGGCCCGGAGCGCTCGCCCAGCCCTCCCTGACCGTACTGCTTGGGGTGAGGAAGGCTCCAGAGCCACGTCACCTGCATTTCCTGGCACATGGCCGATCCACTGCGCGCTCTTGGTATAACACTACAACGTACTTCACCCTCCAAGACACACGGGAATGAACTGTTTACCCCTTGCATCAAAAATGCTTTTCTTCAGGAAATATTTCAGGCCTGACTAATTTCACTCCATTCCCACTTGACAGACCCGCACCTCCCCTTTGCTTCCTTTCACACAGGAGACCCTTTCCTCACGCAAGCCAAGCGCGCACTCCCGTGCCGGCAGAGCCATGGCTGAAGCGCAGTTACAACAGGAGGTGGCACGTAAATCCTACCATGGAAAAAACAGCCCTGCTCCAAAGCCACCGTCACCAAGATTCCTCAGAGCTGTACAGAAAACACACAAGCAGGTCTGCTGGCTATAAACCGCCTCACGTTTAGTTTGCTTGATATTCATATTTAAACAACAATGTATCTAATGCATAAGGAGCACCTGCCTCAAAAACTTTCCAGGCTTAAAGCCAACAGAGAAATAGCCAGGAAACAGTCACCTCCTGACACAGCAATGCCACATAAAAAAATGACCTGCTCTTTTATAAGGTATATCTTGCTTTTCTTTAAGATGCCAGCCACATTAACCTCAGAGGCCACTTCTTAGAAACTGCAGGAGGCCATTTCCTAGGCTGATTTCAGAGGCACTAGCTCCAAAGGACACGTGGCACCCTGTAACCCCTTCTTGGGAAAGAGCATTTTAGTGCACAAGCAGACAGGAAAACTGACCCGCGCAGTGCCCTCTGAAGGCACCTCGTCCTTCAGAGCTCAGGAAACTATACCCCAAAACTTGCCTGTTTCTTCACGTGCGTGCCTACAGTGACACAGGACAATACATCCCGCTGCCATTGAGGTCCTCGAGCTAAAGCATGAGGTAATGGCAACTGCAACATTTAACGGGTTGAGGCTCCCTATGACTTCAAAGACGAAGCTGTTACCGCTTAACGCTTCACAGAAATCAGATCATTTATTTCAGTGAATGATCAGGAAACCACATTTTCTCTTCAGAGCACATCCCTGCATGGAAATGACCAAGGAGTCTCCCCTCAGTCCCAGTTCAAGCTGGGATCCAGATGTGACACGCAAGCATCCACCCCTGGCAGGGACTGCTGCTGCGCTGCTCCCCTTTCCACGTTTCCCCAGCAGGCAAGCAGCATGGCAAGGGGGAAACGACACCGTACCTTGCTGTTCAGATTTGGTCAGCAGTTGCAGTGAGGGTGCAGCTGTCAAATGGAGCACCCAGTTCAGCCTCAAATAACCTAACATCCAAACCAGCCTGCTCCCCCAGTTCAGGGATTTATGCACTTTGCACCCTCACGGGTTTATGTCAATCAGTCCGCCTGCTGGCACGATGCTGTTAATTATCCCAGCTCTTCCTCGGGAACCCAGAAAAGTGTCTGCAACCCCAGCCCACAATGCAAGTGTTTCCTGATAACACAAAGGGCAGTATAACAGTAAGCCAGTCCTGACTGATCTTTGGACTCCACCAGCTTAATATTCAGACCGGACTGTCAAACGTGTTTCAGCCAGTTGGAGACACACGGCACTGCTCTGAACAATTTAGCCTAACATGAACCAGGGATGTGCCCAACCCCGCCGTACAGTTCCCTCTTTCCATTGCGCAAGCAGAACGATTCATGCAGTCACTTAGCAGGAAACAGGGAGCTCAGCTTATCTGAAGATGATAGGCCATTACTAGACCCTGCGCTTTCAGATCTGCAGAGGAGGCAGGAGGATATAAAATCACTGACTACGTACCTCTAGGTGGTTTCTGGTGAACTTTCACAAAATCTGCACCACATAAGTGATTGAGTTTCTCCTTGGTTCCATCATTATATAGGTGAATTAAAACCTCCTTTGGAAAGTAGGGCTCCATTTCTGATAGTTTGAGGGCTCCTATTCCATTGGCACAGTCAATCTTCAGGTGCCTCTGACTCTCTCCAGGGCTGGGAGACTTAGTACAAGGGAAGAAGGGGCAAAGTGAACTCATACCCTAGTGAAACCATGCCAAGAGGGATGCTGAATTCAAAACTTCAGACCCAAACAGGCTAACAAATAGAAGATACTCATCTTGTATATTCACGTGAAGAAGACAACACCCAGTACTCACCTGTTTTATCAGTTCTGTAAAAGCTTTGGATATTTTTTTGTAATAACCTTCCAGCGTTGCTTCCCCATACTGCCCTTGGGTGTTTCGACAGCAGACCATGTAATGTAGCTGTGGCGTTGTCACCAGACCATAATCTAACATAAAATGAAAGGCACAACATTCAGAAATAGAATACTAAATTAATTCCTCCTTAAAAGCTGTGAAGTATTCGCTATTCTACAATAAACAGACAAGTACAGTGCAGGAAACACATATGAAAGTTTCCAAGTTCTGTTATGAAAAGATGAACACCACCCTTGCATTAAAGCCAGGCAACTGCCCTGAAAGAAGATCGTCACAAGCAAAAATGGAAATGGCGTCTGGGCTGCTGCTTTAGGTGTACATAACAGAGTCACGTTTACATAAAAACCTGAAATCAAAGTAGAATTGCAAAAGTTTAACGTACCGTGGTACTGACCACCCAGGACGGAGATACCATCTATTACTGACTGTGAAAGTTTCTCGCTGCTTGGCCTGGAAACAGCAAATACAACTGATAAATGTCTTCTGCAAAGGTTCTGTACGGACTTGGGAAGGAAGCACGTGTGGAAGACGACTCTACAAGCTTCCTGCCAGTAGGCTTGGATTCGATATGAAAAAATCCATACCTTTTTCTATTGTAGGTGCCTCCCAATAAAGAAGTTGGAAAGCCACCACCCCAGAGAATTGCAAAGACAAGTAAACTGCTGAACACACGTGGATGTCACACAGTACCCACAAAAAAAAAACCCCAAAAAACCAAACCAAACCCACAATAAAGCTTCCTGCTCAGAAACAGTGCTAGAAGTTCTCCTAACTATCAGGGAAGCTAATAAAGGAACAGCACTGGAAAACTTCTGTTTATTGCTTTAATCATGAATTAACAGGTAGCAGACTAGGCACGAAAAAAAAAGCATAATTTGGCTGCAGAGGGCTAAAGATCCAAATGCAGCCATGAACAAAACGTTGGTGCTTCCATAAAAGCAGCACGCATCTACGGCACTTTGTCATTACCTGGTGTCTCTACCAAGAAAAACTGAAGCATCTTTGTGCTGGTTCACTGCTGCTTTTTGGCAGATCTCAGCTATTATGTTCTGTAATTCCTGATCCTCTGCATTCGCTAGTTGCGTGGCATACTCTTCCCAGGAAGGGTGCAGCATTTCTCCAAGAGGATCAACCAGCTTTACGCCGTTATCTTCCTTAGAAGAAAAAAGAACAAACGATAGTAAGCCTAAAAGTGGGAAACTTCATAAGATCTCTTTGAAGACAGACGACCCATGGTTCAATCACATTGCTTCTTTAAACACAGAGTACTTCTGGGAAGACATAGCTTAGATGTTCATTCAAACCTCCAACAAGCCCAAAAAAGTAATGCAAGCAGCATATTAATTAACAGACTTTTTCTTTGGTATGAAACTCATTTGACATTAAAATGACAGAAGGGGAGATTCCAATAACCTGGAATTCTCCAGAGCAGCAGAAGTCTAAACGCCTGGTTTGTAATTGCTGCATCTCTTTATTTTTAAAACCTGCAGATTTTGCTCAAAGGTTCATCTCTTCTCAAGGGTACTCCTAGCTTGCCAACGTTACAAATTTCCTACACTACAGCATTTCCACGAGAGAAAACAATGCTTGTGCATACAGGGAAAAGTAACGTCAGACACGCTGGAGATCCCACTACAGGGAGCAGGCCCAACAAACACACGCTTCAAGCAGGTCCAACTGCCTGCAGGATCTGGTGTCTTGGTAGCATGACAAGCTTTGATTCCACCTGACTGATGACATCTGCTTCTTTTTAAAGAAAAGGTTGTTCTTACTTCAGGATTGTGCGATGCTGTAACCATGATGCCAATAGTAGATACCATGGCTTTGGACCTGAGAACTGCCAGCAAGCCCATGCGGAACATGACGTGATCAAGCTGCTCGGCCTTGGTGCGAAATCCAGCGGTGCCATACTGAAGAGTAAGTCCAGCAGGTTTAGGATGTAATGCTGAGTATTTTTTAAGGGCTTCAGAATCCATTGCTAGAGAAGGAAGTAACGCAGATGAAAGTGAGAGAAGTCATTATAATTAAGTTTCACATTTTGCACTTTATTTAATTTTGAAGCCCACAGATGTCTTAAACCCCTTGGTGGGACTGCGAGGGGGACCACTACCAGGGCAATCCATGAAGGAGCCTCTGCATTCCCAGTCCAGCACTAGATAAACAGAGCTCGACCAAATTTCACCAGGTCACGAAGAAACGACACGATTCAGATGAGGAGCGGCACAATTCTCAACCGGTTGGGTGCAGGTGTCCTAACAAAGTCACTGCAAAGGGCTGCCCATTCCTCTGTGTAACACCAGCCACTCGGTGCACTCGGCCACGACTCCATACATTAACTCTCGAGTTCAAAAGCAGCCCGTCCTCTCTCTCCCAGCCACACGGACACCCCCAGCAGTGTCACCTGACTGTTTCACTGGGATCGCCGCTCTGCTGAGGTGCTCCGTAGGGACTCACCGCGCCAGCCCCGGTGCCAACGCCACGTTTCCCACCCCGCCCAGCGTTCCGTTGAGCCGGGCAGGGCCAACCGGACTCACATCACCACAACCACCTCCCCGCACAGCTGAGGGCCT